GAGCAACAGTAGTGGCACTGCTGTGGCTGCCCAGCCACGACAGGAGGTCATTGTTCACATAGTGCGGGAGGTCAGCGGCACGAGTTGGCTGACGCTAACTCACACCAACTATGGAGAGTGGTTGGTGACCATGAAGGTCAAGCTCAGAACCTGACAGCTCTAGAATGCTGTTGGCAAAAGCACCGACAATGAAGAAGATGACATATCAGCATTGGAGGCTATCCTCGCTACTGTACCGGCAGAGTACAGGGAGCCATTGGGGGCGAAAAGCTCTACTAAGGAGGTGTGGGAGGCTATTGCGGCGATGCGCGTTGATTCCGACTACGCAAAGTAGGCAACGGGCTAGCTTCTGAAGTAGGAGTACGCCAACCTCAAGTTCAAGGATGGTGAATCAGTGGAGAACTTATCCCTGCGCCTATAGACGGTCATCAGCAAGCTGAAGAGCCATGGTATCACCATCAATGAAGAGGAGGTGGTCTCCAAGTACCACCACTCTGTGTCGGCAAAGTACATCCAGATCATTCTCTCCATAGAGACGATGCTGGACTTGTCCACCCTCCCCATTGAGGATGTGACAGGCCGTCTGTGGGCGGTGGACGAGCGCATGGAGCAGGCCACAACAACGAAGGACAGCGGCAAACTACTGCTAACAGAGGAGTGGCTGCTCGGAGGAACTCTGGGGTAGCCTCCTCCAGCCGTGGTGGCGATGGCAAGCGCTGCGGCAAGGCTTCTTCGAAGAAGAAGAAGCAGGTCAACCCCAACGCCTGCTGGCGCTGCGGGAAGATGGGCCATTGGGCAAGGGAGTGCGCAAATTGCAAGCATGAGAAGAAGGCTGAGGCTCATCTGGCGCAAGTTGATGATGATGATGAAGCCACTGTCCTGATGGTGACGTTCTATGCACTCCACGATGTTGAGGCCAAGGAGAAAGAAGAGGTGACGTTGGGCGAAGGATCTAGGAAGGCCCTGAAGGCTGTCAACCTCGACGAACCACGCACCCAAGTTCACCTTGGATGTGTGGGCGGCGAGTAGGAGCAGCGGTGGTACCTGGACTCCAGCGCCAGCAACCACATGATAGGCTCCAAGGTAGCCTTCTTTGAGCTCGATAACGATGTGACCGGCACGGTGAAGTTCGGTGATGGCTCAAGGGTGGCAATCCAAGGGCGCAGCACCATCATCTTTAGGTGCCAGAACAGCGAGCACCGTGTGCTAACGGATGTATATTATATCCTGCAGCTACGTTCAAGCATCATCAGCATTGGCCAGCTGGATGAGCATGATAGCGAGGTACTGATCAAGGACGGAGTCCTCAGGATCAGAGACCAGGAGCAGTGACTTCTTGCTAAGGTAAAGAGGTCCCAGAACTGGTTGTACCTGCTCGACCTGAAGGTAGAACAGTCGGTGTGCCTAGCGGGAAGGCACACCAAGGAACTGTGGCTGTGGCATGCCCGGTTCGGATATCTCAGCTTTGATGCACTTGGTCGGCTAGAGAAGATGGTCCGAGGGCCACCCCACATCGATCATGGAGGTGAGCTGTGTGACAGCTGCCTGGCTGGGAAGCAGAGGAGGCTGCCGTTCCCAAAGGTGGCCAAGTATCACGCGGTGGACGCTCTCAAGCTTGTCCACTGTGATCTCTATGGGCCAATCACTCTAGCCACAAACGGTGGTCGACGGTACTTCCTCCTGCTCGTGGATGATTGTAGCCGCTACATGTGGCTGCAACTCCTGACAAGCAAGAATGAAGCGGCAGCGACAATCAAGAAGTTCAAGATGCGCGCGGAGGCCGAGAGCGGCAAGAAGCTCTGTGTGCTAAGAACTGATCGTGGCGGTGAATTTACTTTGGTGGAGTTCGCTGCGTACTGCGTGGATTAGGGTGTGGTGCGACACCACACTACGCCATACTCGCCATAGCAGAATGGTGTGGTGGAGTGACAGAACCAGACGGTGGTCGGCATGGCTCGATCGATGATGAAGGCCAAGGGCATGCCAACAAGGTTCTAGGGTCAGGCGGTGACCACGGCGGTGTTCATCCTCAACTGCTCTCCCACCAAGGCCCTGAAGGGCAAGATGCCGTTCGAGGCTTGGCATTGATGCAAGCTGAGCGTGTCCTTCCTCTGGACATTCAGCTGCATCGGCCATCTCTAGAAGACGAAGCCGGTCCTGACCAAGCTGGAGGACAGGAGCACACCGATGGTGTTCCTGGACTACGTGGATGGTACCAAGGCGTACTGGCTCTACAACCCACACGGAAACAAGGTGCTTGTCTCGTGCGATGTCGTGTTTGATGAGAAGGTGACCTAGGACTAGAACAATCCAAGCATGGGGGAAGCTGGTGGCTTCACCAGCACCTTCGTCATCGAGCACTTGGTCATCCACGGTGGTGGAGACGCTGCGGAAGAGGTGTCGAGCACTCCGGGAGGGGTGCCGAGCACTCCAGGAGGGGAGCCGAGAGGTCCTGCAGTGGTGATGACCACTCTAGGATGGGTGTCGAACACTCCTGTAGCGGAGCCAAGGGGTCTTGCATTAGTGCCAACCACTGCAAGACGGGTGCCGAGCACTCTGAGAGGGGTGCAGACCACTCCAGGAGTGGTGACGAGCGGTCCAAGAGTAGTGCCGAGCACTGCATCTGGGGTGCCGAGCACTCCAGGTGCTGTGCCGATCACTCCGGCAGAACAGGGGACTCCATCAACACTGATTGAGTTCGCCTCACCTCCAAGTGACATCACTGAGTTCATGGATGCCTTCCACGACGGTGAGGAGGTGCGGTTCCGCAGGCTGGACGACATCATCGGCGGCACAGGACCCTCAGAACTGGCGGGTAGGCTGCTTAATGACCCAGAGCTGCTTCTCGTCAGTGCAAAGGAACCACCCACGTTCGTGCTGGCCGAGCGTGATGGAAATTGGTGATGGGCGATGCTGGAGGAGATGAAGGCGATCGAGGAAAACGAGACTTGGGAGCTCGTCGATCCACCTCCAGGATGACGTCCGATCAGCCTGAAGTGGGTGTACAAAGTCAAGTGGGACAAGCACGGCGCCATTGTCAAGCACAAGGCATGACTCGTCGCCCGAGGCTTTGTCCAGTGCGAGGGCATTGACTTTGAGGAAGTCTTTGCTCCAGTAGCGCGTATGGAGTTTGTCTGTTTGCTACTAGCCTAGGCAGCAGCGAAGGACTGGCACGTCCATCATCTAGATGTAAAATCGGCCTTCCTCAATGGCAAGCTGGCGGAGACGGTCTTCGTCAGACAACCTCTGGGTTTCAGCGTCATGGGAGCGGAGCACAGGGTGCTCCGACTGCGCAAGATGCTCTACGGGCTACGGCAGGCCCCACGAGCGTGGAATGCCAAGCTTGATGCCACGCTGGGCGAGCTTGGGTTCATGAGTTGCGCAACCGAGCACGCGCTCTACACACGGCGATGGGGGAAGGAGGAGTTCATCGGCGGCTTGTATGTGGACGAGTTGATCATCACAGGCGCTCGTGCGAAGGACATCGACAGCTTCAAGCGCGAGATGGCGGCTCGTTTTCGAATGAGCGATCTCGACGTGCTCTCCTACTACCTCGGTATTGAGGTGAGATAGGAGAAGGATGCACTCACGCTCGATCAGAGCATGTACGCCTCGAAGCTGTTGGAGCGGAGTGACATGGCTGAGTGCAAGCCATGCGTGACTCCGATGGAGGAGCGGCTGAAGCTGACGAAGGTCAGTACCGCGGCGAAGGTGGATGCAACACTCTACTGGAGCATCATCGGCAGTCTGCCCTACCTAGTCCACACGAGGTCGGACATTGCGTTCGCTGTGGGCTACGTCAACCACTTCATGGAGGATCCCAGAGAGGATCACTGGACTACGGTGAAGCGGCTACTATGCTACATCAAGGGGACAGTAGATCAGGGGATCATCGTTCCTAAGACCGACGGAAGTAGGCTGCAGCTCACTGTGTTCAGCGACGCAGACATGGCGGGGGACATCGATGGCCGGCGGAGCACCTCTGGCGTGCTCGTCTTCCTCATGTCGGCTCCGATCACATGGCTATCGCTGAAACAGAATGTGGTGGCACTATCTACATGCGAAGCAGAGTACGTAGCGGTAGCCATAGCGGTGTGCCAAGTTATGTGGCTGCGCCGACTGCTGGGCAAGCTGACCGGTGTGGAAGCTCACCCACCAGTACTGATGGTGGACAACCAACCCGCCATCGCCCTCGCGAAGAATCCGGTTCTTCATGACCAGAACAAGCACATCGACGTGAAGTTTCACTTCCTCAGGGACTATGTCGATGGCGGGCAGATCGTCATCGAGTTTGTCGAAACTGGTCGGCAACTCGCGGACGTCCTCACCAAGCCGCTCGGCCGTCTTTGACTCACAGAGCTGAAGGTGATGATCGGTATGGAGGGGGTTCAAGGGTTAGCAGTAGGATTAGGGGAAAAATTGCTAGATAATCTACTGCTCCCTTATGTGAACACACGGTAGGGGAATGCGGTGCCGAAAAGGCTCCCTGCTGTGGTACTGTAACACTGCAGGGATAGGCGCCGAACGGCTCACCTGCCGCACTGTAGCCACAGCAGGGGCAGGCACCAGAGTCAGCTCTGCTGTCACATATAGTCACTGTAGCAGCATGGTAGTTGTACTAGAACTAGATAGATAAAGTTGTATATATAGTTTTCCACTGCAACTCAGTAAAGAGAAAGAGTTCAGATTTGCCATCTCCTATAAAGAGCTCCAGCCAACGCTGGTGTCTCTGCTGTGTGTGTATGCTCTGTTCTCCCTCACTTCTTCTACCTCTAGCCATAGTGTGTGGTCAGACAACATTTGTCGTGGTCGGCAAGACTGGTGAGTGGTCGACTCATTTGAGCCGGTGATCCTGTGGGCCAACAGTGCCAAGGGTGCAACACTTCAGATACAGTGGGAGGATTGACCGATTCACACTGAGATCTCCCCTGCTGGAAGTGAGGAGAGTGTATCTGCACATTGTTGCCTGCTGTGATACTGGAGACAACGTGAAATGCGAAATGTTCTGGAACTTTCTAAAGAATTTCGGCGATGCGAAGGTCCTGAAGCTGAAGCTGGAGTGCCCCATCGATTATGTTGCGGTACCGGACAGGGAGAGATTCAGGGAGCTCCTAGGTGAGACGTTGTTCAATGTCGAGCACCTTGAGATCGATGCACGACACAACCCCACGAGAAAGGATGCGGCTGTGGCAATAGGAAACTTGCTCCAGTGCTGCCCTGTTATTCTTGACCTCTGGCTCAAGCTGAACACTGCTGACCAACCTAGGAGAAGCAGAAGCAGAAACAGCAGGAGCACTTTTCTGAAAAACAAAGCTCAGTTGGAGTTTCACAAGTCTGTTGATCATTTCAGGCACCGCAAAGATCGTCCAGTGATTCCCTTGTGTGGTGATGATGACAAAGTTGATGTTGTTTCTGATATTCCTGGTTTGAGCGATAGATTGTTCCCCTTCAGCTGTCTGCGATTCCATCTAAGGAAATTGAGCCTGCAGTTTCAGATGGATAAGCCTGACTGTGTCGGCGTCCAACTAGCCAAATTCTTCGTCGAGAGAGGAATGGCCCTTGAGGAAATGTACATTGACGACGGGAACATGAGACTGTGGGAGCACATGAATTGCAGGATTAGTGGATATGCAGCCAGTCCTCAGCGTTCTTCAGAGCACCATGTCATAGCGAGAATGTCACAAGTGCTTAGCGTAAACCAATTCAGTTCCTCAAAGATTAGTGGGTGGTTTCACCACTGCAGACTAGAAGTAAGGCAAACACACCCTTGGAGCGCAGTGAGTAGAAGCTTTACAATCTTACCATTGGCAGATGCATGAATGTTGTGGTCTTAGCAGATCATCTAAGGTACTTTGAAGAAATGTAGTGTTTTAGTAGAAGCTTTGATTTTATTTCTTGAATCTTTCTCCACTATATGAATAAGGTACTTATGCAATATTTTGATATGAAATAAGGACACATTGACAATCCATGATTGAAATATTGTATGGAGCTGTTTGTTGAATATATTTGTCTTCCTTTCATTATATTATCTTGAGGTTTTTGCCTTGATGATACAAAGTGTAGCCTGCACTCTTTGTTGCTGTGATTATTTATTTATAAATTACCTTATGGAATCCATAGCAATAGTTTGTCTGAATATCACATAAATTGCTTAATTTTTCCAGATGAGAAGAGTATCCTAGTGCTTACACGAGAATGTGTTCAGTGTATTAATTTTTTTTATTGAGAGAAGAACAGGAGAGGCCGAAGCCCCTACTGAAAAAGAATACTTTTAAAACACTTAAGAAGTACAAGTACAAAGCTCAAGAACAAAAAAAAGGATCAAAAGAAAAGAAGCGCAGAAAGGAAGATTACAGAATAGTCATGCATAATTCAAACAGAAATGAGCTTGCTTTTTATGCTCTGTGCACAAACAGAGACAATTCTCTAGAGAAAATCTCCTTGCAGTTCTATATGCTAGCAGGTATGTGGTTGAAGATTAATCCATTCTTGTTGTCCAAATTACTCATCACATAATAATTACTGCATTCATGAAGAAAGCTTCCTCAGTTGTGCAATTTGTAGGTATCACAATTTGTAAGAAAGTCCCAGCAATTTCTTGCAAACATGCAATTCATGAACAGGCGCTCCAGAGTTTCTTCATTATTATTTTGGCATAAGAAACCATTGTAATAATCAAGATGCATATATATGTGTTCTCCTCAGAATATATTTCTTGTGCTTAGCCTATCACTGAGTAGAAGCCAAAAAGAAAAAAGAAACACCTTGTGCTTAGGTTGACAGAAGGACTGCGACAGCCATGTATATGCCTCGTGAACTTGGGTTTGGCAAGAAAGAGCAATATGGGCCTATGATGAGGAGAAATTAACCCCCCCGATATATCCGAGTGTCATTTTAATGAGGCAAGGGAAAAAACAATAACAACATCAACTGAACTTGTACATATGTTTTAGTTCTTATTACATCTTGACGCATGCATACATTGAAATATCAAAGTAGTAAAATAATTAAATCATCTTACACAACGAAAATAACCCATAAATAATATATGACGAAGCACGACATTCACCGACCTCCGTCTTTATTCAACATATAGTCATATATCTAAAAAAGTTGGACCCAGTATTGTTGATCTAGATGAAAACTCTATGGTTGACTAAGACCATTGGCACCACATCTCTTGTATTCTGGTGGTGGTGGAGGAAGGCTGGTCTCCAGTGTTGGCCCATTCTCAACGATGAACGCTGTCGCCATGCCCATCACAATGTGAAACTCAAAGTGGCAATGGAAGTACCACATTCCTACCCATCAAGATTCAAGCAAGGAAGATGATTAGGTAAATGCATGATACTTTGTAATTCACTTATATTTTGAAGATGCTCATAAAACTAGGATATGTGCTTCCATTCATTGTGGTAAGGGCCTGTTTGGATTGGGGAGACTAAACTTTAGTCACCCCCTTTTAGTTTTCTTTTAGCCCCTAAGGACCCAAACAGGGTGACTAAACCAATTAGTCCATTAGTTCCTTAGGGTGACTAAAGAGAACTAAATCAGCCCAAAAAGACACCCCTGCCCCTCACAAATGCGGCGGAGGCGAAGGAGGAGTTGGAGATTTTGTGCATTAGTGGTGTTTTGGTCTTTGTATAGTAGTTTCAATGACCATTAGTCCATCATACAGGGTGGTAGGGACTAAAGTTTAGTCTGTACACTAAATATATGTGCATGTATGAGTGTCTATGTTTGCAAAAACTAGGATCAAAGTTGAGCTTGTCCAGTGGCAGTACCTGGATTGTCTGTGACGAAGCGGATTGCGGCCCATCCTGTCCTGGGCACTTGCACGGTGTTCCTTAGCTGTGGGTTGTGGTAGTTGAACTTGGCCACGTCCCTCTTGGGATCGAAGTTGCCAAGCCCCTGCGCAAGCACAAAGAAGTCGTATCCATGGAGGTGCATGGGGTTGGAGTCACTCTGCAGCAGTGCCGTGCTCTGGAACACGATCTCTACCGTCGTGTTGTACTTGAACCGCCGGAGCTTGGTCGCCTTGAACGTCGGCTCAAGCGCCTCCTCCAACGGCCCCGGCGGGATCAGCTCCCTGTTGGAGTAGTTGTACGGGTGCGGCGGCTTCACCGGAAAGTCCTCGGTGTACACGCCCTCGCCGTTGCCGTAGTCGTAGTACCGCTCCAGCAGGGACGTGGCGTTGGGGTGGTGGAAGGAGACGTTGTTCATGGTGGCCACCACGATGGTCTCGTTACTGCGGCGGCGCTTGCACACCTTCTTGCCTCCACGGCAGAGGGAGCCCAACCCCAGCGTGACGAAGAGGCGCTCGTCGACGTGCATGGGCACGCGGTGGCGCCCCGGGTACGCGAGCCCGGTGAGGTTGCCATGGAAGTAGTAGGACGGCAGGGTGTTGTGCTGGTCGGGCAAGAGGGGCACCGGCACGGGCAGGCCATTGTTGTCGCCACGCACGCCGGCGTAGCGGACGAGGCCGCGCGAGACGAATACGGGGATCTGCGGGTCCGGCTCCGGCGGCTGGTTGGCGAGCGCGACCATGTGGTAGTGCGCGGGCGGCGCGTCGGCGGTCATCAGCACGTCGATGGTCTCGCCCGGCGCAACGGTGACCATGTCCGTCTCGAACGGCGTCAGGTAGTTGCCGTCGGCGCCGACCACCGTGAACGTGTGCCCGGCCACCTTGAAGTAGTACTCCGAGAAGAGCGCCGTGTTGAGGATCCTCAGCAGGTATGTCTCGCCACGCTCCACGTCGAGGACGAAGCTCTCCTCGGGCACGCCGGAGCAGTTGCTGAGGTCCCCGAGCTTCCCGTTGATGGTGGCCGACAGCGGGTTGTCGTCGAAGTTGCCGTCGGCCATCCTCCGGTCCAGCTCCACGAGGTCGAGCTGCCACCACTCGCCGATGATGATGGGCACATCCTTGGCCGGCGGAGTACGGAACGGGTACCTCCCGTCCTTGGGGCGGATGACGAAGGCGCCGTTGATGGTGGCGCGGAGGCAGGTGACGTGCGCGTGCCACCACAGCGTGCCCACCTGGCCGGTGAGGTTGAAGCGGTAGGTGTGGTTGGCGCCGGGAGGGATGGGGCACTCGGTGACGAAGCCCGCGCCGTCGGACCAGCAGCTCCGGATCTGCCGCACGCCGTGCCAGTGGATGGTCAGGCCGTGGTCCAGCCGGTTCACGACGCGGACCACCACCGTGTCGCCGTCGGTGACGTCGATCTGTGGGCCAGGGAACTGGCCGTTCACCACGTAGATCTTAGTCGTGTTGCACAGGTGGGTCACGTTCATCTCGTGGACCTGTTTGACAAGCCAAGGTTGGTCAAGGTAGTTTACTGTAAATGTCAGTGTTTAACGACCCGTCTTAAACCTGTCTAGCTAGCAAACAAGCCCATCGAGAGTTCTATTGGAGCACAATGATAAAATGTCACATCATCACAAGCTTGTTGAATGCAAACAATTATTTTATTTATGCTGGTTTGACGGTAACAGTGGGGTACCACAAAACTATACTCCATCCACCGTTTCTGAATAAATCAATTCTTAGAGTCATCTTAAATTAACTAAACTTTTTATGTTTCATCAAATTTATAGAAAAAACACAAACATTTATTAAACCAGATAAGCATTTTATAAAAATGTAGTTTATGACGCATCTAATGATAAACTAATTTGGTGTCATAAATCTTTACATTTTTTCTATAAATTTGATAAAATTTTAAAAGGTTTGACTTAATAAGACAACGCTAGGAATTGATTTATTTAGAAACAGAGTCAGTACTAGGAGGTACCAAAGTTGGTACCTACTATGTAAAGTTTCATAACCTCATTAGTTACACTATAATTTTGTCCCTGGTTACTTCCCAAGATCATAAAAATTGTTATTATTTCTCATCTTTTAAGGCTTATTATAGAAATAAGCACTAGGACCACTACATACCAAAAGTAATTTTTAGAAGATGCAAAAATCAGGAGGAGGTTGTTTGGCCAAAGACCTCTAGAAAATGGTTTGCTTTCATAGACATCCAATTAACTACTGATAGACATGTATTTTTAGCGGTATAACCCTTTCGTAGGTGGTCATCTTAAGTGATACCTGTGCAAATGGCATTTCCATACGAAGCCAGTTAAGACGACATCTACAAATACCCATATTTTTCGAGACTGTAGTCTTAAGCCGAACACCTCTAAAAAAGTGAATACCAATTTATTGATATGAGTCATGGCATTGGGGGTCACCTGAAGTATACTATACTCCCTCCGTCCCTTTCATTAACTGTCGTTCTCACGTATCGAGGAGTTAAACATACTCAGCTTTAACCAAATATATACAATAGACTATTAACATTTATAGTGCGTAATAGGTATCAATAGATTAATCATTGCATATATTTTTATAATACACTTATTTGGAGATACAATTGGTAATAGTCTTTTCTATAATTCTGGCGACACTTAAAAAGTGACAGAGGGAGTAGAGCAGAGCCCGTTATGGAAAAGAATATAGCGTCTTCAAAATCTGAATTTTTGTAATAGTGCAGTGAGCATCAATATTGTTTTCTGAATAATATTTGGATCTTAACGCCATTTTAGTTAGCAAAATGCCTAATGAAATTTACTTCTAATATCACTAAATGAGAGCCTTATTGAAACAAGATCGATGGAAATTCTATATATATTTCCTTCAAATATCACTAAACATGAACCTAGCTAATAGAAACTGATGTATATTTACTTACAACAAAGGTATGCTCCACAACCGCTGCCTCGCCAACGGAAACTGCCGTGGAGAGGGCGACAAGGGACATGCAGAGGA